AGAACCTGGAAACAACCTAGATGCCCTTCAATTGAAGAATGGATGAAGAAAGTATGGAATATATACATATTAGAGTACTACTCAGCAGTAAAAAACAAGGACTTCTTGAAGTTTGCAGGCAAATGGATGGAAATAGAAAACACCATCCTGAGTGAGGTAAGCCAGACCCAAAAAGAGGAACATGGAATGTTCTCACTCATATTTGGTTTCTTGCCAGGAAGCTTTTTGCTGACTTTTGAACCCAGAGTCCATCGCCCCCTTTTCTATCTGATCGCCTTCCAGTCTGTTTGACCGCACATCTCACCTCGTGCGTGCATGTGAGTTTCCCTCCTGGACAGTCGCTTCCTTCAGTGTTCCTTGGTCACAGGTGTACCTCGTAGTTCTAGCATAGAGTAGCCAAAGTTACTAAAGAAAAGAATGACTCGGTTCCTTTTAAACAGTTGTTGATCTTTATACAGAAAACCAGACGTTTAAGATATTTTCTTTTTAAGATTTATTTATTTATTTCTTACGTATACAACATTCTGCCTGCATATGTACCTGCACCCCAGGAGAGGGCACCAGATCTCATTATAGATGGTTTTAGCCACCATGTGGTTGCTGGGAATAGAACTCAGGACCTCTGGAAGAAGAGTCAGTGCTCTTAACCTCTGAGCCATCTCTCCAGCCCAAGATCTTTTTATATAGCATGATAGTACTGAAATATCAACTCCATAGAACAAATTCAAGTAGATTTGATTAATGACCTAAAGTTTTGCTCCATTTCAGGAAGACAGCGTATAACAGCACTGGTCATCGTGTTGAACAGCTCGGGAAGGAGTTTTGAGATGATAGAAAATTTCCGACAAATACATGCTCAGGGCTTTAGTACAGTACAGTTTGTTCTAGTATTAAACACCTCCCGAGACAGGGCCTTGAATTCAAAATAACCCTCTGAGCTTGGGAACTCCAGGTATGTACCCTATACTCAGTTACTCAGCTAGCTTTTTCCCCCCAAATTCTCATGATACTTTCCATGTTGACAAGCACAAGATAGTCTTCATTCACAGAGACCTATTATACATCTTTTAAAACAGTTGACGACAGTATTTGTAATTTTAATATTTGTAGTTAACATAATTATGAAGCTGTGTTCATTTTGTACTCTGTATCATGCAAAATTCATCTTAAAAAAAGCTCTGTTGTAAAGCTTAAGAAACTTTATGTGTATAAAAAATGAATGTATATATAAGTAATTGGCTTAAATTACATCCAACAAGATAATTTGAGTTAAGAGTTTTGTCAGCTACGAGTTGCCAGAGGAGGGGCTGCTGAGATGGCTCCCCTGGTACAGGTGTTTGCCACCAAGCCTGATGCCCTGAGTTTAATGCCTGGAGCTCACATGGTGAAAAGAGAGCAGCTACTCTCTGACTTCTGACCTCTGACCTCAGTACATAATAAGTAAATGAATAAATATAATTTTTAAGTTGTCAGGGTAAACATAAAAATAGGAGCTACTCCATTAAAGTTGAATTTCACACAAATAACTAGGTAAACAGACTCCTGCAAAAAATATGCTACTTATTTAGGTGCCTGTATTTTATCTGTAAACTGTCTTGTTTCACTTCTCTACGTTGCTGTTCTCCAAGAGACCTTCTTTGGTCTCTCATATACAAAAGCAAAATTGATGAAGTTTCTCTTGGTTCCAAGGATGAATCAGTATGTAAGCCATGCCTGGTGTTTAGAAGTAGCCCCATTCCCAGGATGGGCCCTGTCTCGTTACAGTATGAGAGATGGCTGCGGGTGTCCTCAGGTTCCTCTGGGTGGTAACTGCCCTCCAAAGGTGTCCCTCTTTGTCCCTGGCCAGAGTTGT